ATTATCAAATATTTTACAGATAATTAGCAGAAATATTGGATGAAACAACACACTGCCATAAGTTAGACGAAAAGTTATAACAAAAATGTGATTTAAACGATGACACTATCGAAGGTTTCACAGATCACTTGTGGAAACATGGTTTAAATGTTAACATTATCAAATATTTTACAGATAATTAGTAGAAATATAGGATGAAACAGCAACACTGCTAAAATAGTTATTTTTGATACAAGTGCGGAAAGTTAGTCATTATTCACGAGTCTCGAGGCTTCTTGGCCCGAGCCAGAGGCGAGGGTCAAGACTCGAGACAAGTGAAAATGACAAATCCGCACGTGTATCAAACGACGTTTTTTAATACATTTGCGAAAAAACTACATTGAAAGTAAAATAAAAAAGTATTTAAAAAAAATCTCATTTTCTGCTAATAAATTAAAATAATGAAATACAACCACTGCAACCATTATTTAAAAGTCTATGGAAATCTAGTTCTAACGTGCTGTTTTTGTTTATTTTCTGTAATATCGGTCTGTAACCACTTTTCTTATTATGAACTCCTGGTACTTTTGTTTAAACTTCTTTAGGAACCCGTGCACGGTAGTGAGATACAATTTATCTGTAATACATAGAACAAATATATACATAAAAATCTCGCCTGTCACCCATTCAGTGGTAGGCAGAGACTGTGGACCTCCACTCGATACGTTCATTATATAGTATTTGTAAATAAATATAAGTTTTAATGTCGAATGACTTACGTCACCAAGCACATAAATATGAAATAAATATACAATCTCTTTAGTTCTATGTTTAAGACTTAAAACAACAGTAAATTTAAAAAGACTGGAAAAGTAAAAAGCACTAGTGCGAGAAATCCAACTTTCCGCACTATTTGTAGTGCGAAAAATACCACGTTTTGAGCAACTGTATTAAAAAATATCTAATGATTAGTCTACATGGTGGTTTAAATTGTAGTATTGCATCAGTATGCATTTCGAATATTGCCCGAACAGGAAGCTTCTGTAGAATAAAGATTCTAATAATGTCGGCGGCACTAACACAAGGTTCTATTGATACAAGATCACCACTCCGCCTATCTGCCTACTATGACGATACATCTACGCCTCGTTTTGACGGGGCTATTGTTCTGTAATGGATCTAAGCCGATTTTGTAAGTTCCATTCTTGCGTAGTAGTGTTGTAGACCAATAGTTAAACTATCTATAATCTATCGATAAAAGAAAATAATTTTAGTCGATTGAAAGCTAGTAACTATAGTCGATCAGTCTCCTAAGGTCCCGTGCACATCAAAATGTACATAGACCCAGAAAATTTTGTCCCTGAAGACGTAAATGTACATTGTAATTTGGCGCTATTATATTATATATTCTATATGGCTACAGGGTATCTATAAAAATACGTTTCTACGGCATATCATTTATTTCCGATTTCTAGTGATTCCTCATATCTTTTACTTTCGTGCGACTTCGAATCTGGACAGTCTTTTGTCTTTCTACATAAGTTTTGTTTGTAGTGACCTTACCTATTAACCTCTTGGTTATGTGGGAAGGGTACTAAAACCTGCACAAGGACCATATAAATCAGGTCCTAACCACAAATCAGCCCGTTTGCACGGCCTGCATCCGGTTCCCTATAAGGCTAGTGCCTTAGGCGAACCGCCCCGGGTGCACGTACAGCACCATTCTATTTTCATGTCGTTGTATTTTTTTGTATTAAGTTTCAGTATTAATTCAACCGAAATTTCTTTTGCATTGCTACCGTAACGCGAATATAAGCAGAATATTTTCTTGAATACTATCCCATAGCGATATGGTGCTTTCTTTAAAATACAAATAAAAAAATTAAATACGGTTGCTTTTGAGTGTTACACCGGCCGCCTTCGCGCCGCGATCTACGCATAGGACTGCTGTGTGTCACGCTCCGGTACGAATTCGCTTCCCGCAAGTCCGCCCCCGGACCCCTTTTCCCGCTGTGCCACGTCTGTGTGGTCTCAGCTTAAAAGTAAAAAATTTTTACTTTTTTTGAATGATTTGTTTCAGTGCAGATTTTTGGGAACTGAATCAAACACATCACTATACAATAAACATAGCAACTTTATTTAACATTAGTAATTGTCAGTTTAAGTTGATTGAATATCACCATGATATTGAATTATTTTTGTGAAATTACCCCACTACTTTGTTCCAATCGTTAAGATAAAGATCGAACACTTAAAAAAATTCCTTCGATTCGGATGGATACGAACCAGCGGCCTTGCCATACCGTGGCTGACGTTCTGCCAACAGAGGTACGGATCAAACCAGCAGACATTACGATTTTTTTATGTGCTTGGTGCAGATCGTTGTTTTTGGTTTTAACGACTTGTTTGTCGTAGCGCCATCTGTGAGAAATCTATGAAAGTTTTTGTTCACTCAGCCAGGTACCTTCACAGCCAGTGGCGCCAGATTAGGCGATTTTTCGCCATTTGATTGGGGATTTTGTGGAGAATGGAATTGTAAAACAACTTATTTGGGCGTTTGAGTAGTTCTACGTTCTGAGTAGTTAGATGTGGGGAATTGGGGAAATAAGAGAGTTCATATTCCCCAATCTCCAGCAGCAAGTAGAATTATAGAATTGTATTCCTGGATTTTTAGGGATTTTATGGCTTGGGCGAATATCGACTACTTAACACACATAAATTGGCGAACTAACTTCGCAAAAGTCTGGCAACACTGTTCACAGCTACCAGGACCTGACTAAAGGTGTCGTCTTAAAAATTGTCAGTTTGTCACGTCTAATAAAAAATCAGATTTTCTAGACGATCTATCGGTATTAAAACTATCGCTAATTTTTAACACTATGTCATAATCTCCATGTAAGTCTTCCTTCAACTAGTGAAGCGTATTAAAAAGTAATCGGAATATTTTAACGTTTATTCTAAGTCATCGACATCCATGACTCAACACGAAATTTCAAAAGCTTTACGACGATTTTATTGATTTTTTTAAGGTATGGAATGTATTTAATGGAACTTCTTTTACAGATTATACCTCATACTGGTGCCGTGTGCGTGGTGTGTGGTACTGGCGTACCACGGCGATGATCTCCCGCCAGGACCGTATTGTGGACTCACTGGGCAGTGCTGCAGTAACCGACAGGACTCCTGTTCTCACAAAATACTTGGTAAGTTGTTTCATCTTTAAAATAAGAATGTTAATCATACTTAGAAATGTTTAAAGTACTTTAAAAAAAAATCTCACACTCTTTGCCCGCCCGCAAAATAGGTAAGTAAATCCGTTTATGTCCACTGCTATAAACTTTTGAATACATCTATTAAAAAAGACCTATGTGAACAGACTAAAGAAAAACTATCATACAGCCAACTGGTCACCAGCAACAGTGTCCGTAATTACGAGAATTAAAAAGAAAAATTGTCTATGATATTATCTTTTACGTTTAATTCTGCCGCCTTTAGTTGAAAGAGCGTATGTGACAAAAACTAAAACCGAGAAAATAATGTGTAAAGTAATTACATTGAAAAAGATTACTTCTTTCTTTCGGTAACTTGTGACCATCGAGTATATAACCAGAAATAGAGACGAAACGTCATTTAATTTGTTTGAAAACTACTCTGCCAAATCATTACTATGGTATTACCTTTTACGTTTAATCCTGCCGCAAACAGTGTCAGTGTCGCGGTGACATTAAAAAAAATGTTATTTATATTGTAAGTACTGGACAGTCAAAGAGGCCGATCTGTCACAAGCTTCGAGTATATAGCCAGAAATAGAGACGAAATAAGGACCATCCATGCAAATGGGCCTATATCACTTTTAAATATCAACTCTCGTTTGCGCTGAATCACAAATTAGACAGCTGAAATAGTACAACGCCAACAACTGACTCTTCGTATATTCCAAAAATATTCTGTATTTATCGTAATAAAGATAATATCTCTAACAATGTGGGGGCTGCTCCATTCGGTGGTGTGAGAAAAACAGCAAAACATCTAATTATAAAAAAAACGGAATCACACTTCATCGGTAATTAAATATGAAATATGTAATTTTTCAGTTTTCGTCGAATTTTCAATGGACGAAAATTGAAAATTGAAAAATCGACTAGTTAGTCGATTTGAAGTGAAACAATTGGCGTCACCTGTCAATCTTGTTTCGAATTCGGGCTGGCCAATCTGGCCAATCAGAGCGCAGTTGTCATCGTAATTATTTGGCAGAATAGTTTTGAAACAAAATAAATGACATTTCGTCTCTATTTCTGGTTATATACTCGATAGTCACAAGATACCGCAAGAAAAAAGTACATTTTTTCAATGTAATTTCTTTGCACATTATTTTCTCGGTTTTAGTTTTTGACACATACGCCCTTTCAACTGACGGGGACAAAATTATAGTGCACGAATATACCCGCATCACATTTTACAGATTTTTCAGATGTAGAGGTGAAATCTATAGAAGAAAAAAATGCCGGATATTGGTAATTACAGTCTTTAAAACAGTTTTTTTAGTTTTGAGATTCTTAATGATTTGTTACCTGTTTCTTTTTTGCTGATGACTATATAGTCAATGCTCAAGAAATAAAATAAAATAATAACGTACTTTACAAATAAGGCGGTAAAATAAATGAAAGTAATTTGAAGTTCTTTTTTGTTATTGTTTTACTTTTTTGTTTTCTTCACGAAAAAGTTTTTTTAGTAGATGAGCGAATATTCAATAATGGACTGTACAATAATGGAATGGACTGGACTGTAAGTCAATGACTTGCAATTATATGGACGTCGGGTCCGCGCTAAAAAGTGTCCGCACTTGTAAGGCGCTAAAATCGTATACAGAGCGCCAAACTCCGCTTTAGTCTTCATTTGTTCGACTGACAGCGCGATACTGCGATGACATTACAATTTAAATTTCGAATAGGTTGATTTGGGATATTTTTTTCGTGGTTTTTGTATTAGACCCGTCGTCCATTTATTTGTAAATCAATGACTGTACTCTTTAAGGACAGTACTATTTTTTACTTCTTTGTTACACATTATCCTGCATTATTCAGTCTTTTATTATTTCCTCGCGTTGTTTAAGAAAAGGAGTACGTATATACATATCTCAGCGCGAACGGCGATTGCTTGACTCGTATAATACCAATGTAGGAGCGACTGCGTACTTCATGACAAAATACGCTGTATTTGTTTAGCTTCTACATTTTAACTTAAATGAGTGTCCCACACACGCAGGCGAACCTGGCTTGAATTTGAATTACGCGTCGCCCCGCGCGGCGGCCGCGTGGTCGCCGACTGAAGCCCGCAACAGGATCGCCTTTTAATTTTTTCGAGTATTACTTATCTCTGTTTGGCAACTGTACATCCAACAAATCAGTTTTAAAAAGCACTCAACTACTCCATTTGATTCTGTTACTTTAACGAACCACAAACGTATATAATATAATAATAATAACGCACACACTCAATATAGCCCCGCTCTAGGGAAACCCTGTGTCGCGGGTGTCATGGACACACACATAGACAACCACAAATTACACTCAAACTCGCGAGAGAAATAAATGTAGGCTATACAAATATTTCTCCCGGCCCGGGAATCGAACCTGGCACGTCTGCGTGGCAGCAATGGTAACAGTTCGGCCACGAAGGCAGTTGATACTCGTTACCTTTTCAACGCGTACACAACTTTGCACTGCACACTTACATAGACTCTTTTGATTCCTGGGTACATTCCTTTCCTTTAAATTAAATTCTACTTTGCATTCTTTCAAAATTAGTATTAAAAATAGTTTCATTTCCTACACTAATTATTTTATTGTTAAATATAGAAAATCTGTTAATAAATAAATTTGGCCAAAAAAACGCCTAAAGTACAAGTACACATTAACTTAGTTTAGGCATCTCAATTATACATTAGGTTCTAATATTAAAATGTATAGCTTTATTAAGAAGATATACAATTTAGGTTCCCTTCTTAATGTTTATTTTAATATTATAATAACTTTATTTACGTGTGTTTTACTTGTATTCTATTAGATTAAGTTATATTGGAATAACGTTTCGGACGAATGTCGGAGAACAGAGAACGGAAGTAAACCCCCAGGAACGTATTATTGTTTACATTATTCTATTCTATTGTATCGTTAAGTCAATCGCGAAACTAATAAATAAAACTTAGTGAGTGAAGCCGTTCAAGTAACATGTTACTAGTTGGTATCTTAATCTGTGAATAAACACTTGAAAACTTCGTAGTAATTTTATGGTGCCTACGAGTTGACAGTTATGTAGGTTAGCACTGATAACTTCGAGGAACGCGCTTGTTAGCACCAATGCAAACAAAATTATTTATTTCTTTGTGGTATGCAGTTTATAAATTCAAATACTTTATTTCAGATTATTCATCCATATTCGTTAGTATAACAAAGAAAAACCTTACACGCTAATGTCAGTAATTACAACTTATAAAATATATGTACTAGGTTTAGTGTATACATGAAGTTTGGTCCAGTGCAGAGGCGACTCGTCCAATCCATCCATCCAACCCACAAAAATAAAATTATTAATTTATTATTATATTCATTACTTCTTTTTTTTATTAATGAACAACAAACATTACGGCGAGATACGTGAAAGCTGGCTTAACGTATTTTTTCAAAATCTTATTACGGCAACACTACATACAGTCAAAATTACTTTGACGGTTCGTAATTTAAAAATTTCGGTACGCTTAATACGAGCCCGAAAACAAAAAACAATAAATATTGAAGATGATATAGCTGATAAATTCGATTGTCCTTTGATGTGAAAACTTAGTCAAATGGCAAAATAACTCTTATTTATTATTGTAGCGAATTGCAAAAGTATACAAAATTTGGCCGTTGTGTTATGGTTAGAGAGAAATTATCTTTATTGGCATTTGTATGCGCTGCAACTTAAACCTCTTAGCGCTTATGCTAGCGC